TTAAGAGATTCGTAAATTAGAATTTAGGATTTGCACTCCACTTACCAGAATATCGCCTACTCCGATAACATAGAGAAGTTGGGTGATAAATAATGCCGATAATAAATTCATGAGCGTCGTGCCAGACAGGTTGCGTAGGTCAGAAAATAGGCTGGAACAAAAAGAAAAACATTTCATTAGGATTCAAAATTAGATCTATTTTTCAGTCTGGGCTGGCTGGAAATAATATTGAAACTTATACTAAGTATTATTTGCAGATAAAAGTTCCAAAAAACTTTTTCAATAAAAGGGACAAAAAGTTTTTCCAGTTTATTTCAGTCAAAAGTCACGAAAATGGATTTTCCTTGTACGACTCGACTCTTTGCCTTTTCAACTAACATCTGGGGAACAGTTTTCATTTTAATACCGTTAGATTTGTGTCACCCTTACAACGGCAATGTACGGATCCAAAATGCATGACGTTAAACTCCTATTTAAATCGAACTCTAGAGAAAAAAAAGAAAGCAGGGGACAAAATAAATGATTGGAGACAAGTAAATCTCCAAACAATTTATTTACGAGCCAAATTTACATACTTTTTTTGTATCCAGTTCGGAAAGTTGCGGGCCATAAATTAGCTTTTTCGCTGAGATATCTATGTGGAGTTTTTGGGATATATATTTTGTTTTTGTGCCGTCGTAAGGGCCATTCTTCATTTATGATTTTTTTTTGGCCTCACCAAAAAAGATGTGTGAGATTTAATGGATAAATATTATAGTCTCCCGGGGAAAATTAAACACAAAATGAATTGAATTTTGCTAAGTTTTCCTTTTTTTCTTGTAATTCTTGCCTTTTCAAACTTTATGAATCATTTCAATTTCGATGTATTCTTGCATCGCATTTCGATTAGCTCATTTCCATAGTGTTTTCGACAGTTGGTAGAGGATGAAAATAGAGCTATCAAAAGAGCTGACAGACAGTTCGGTGCAAATCACAGCAATAATGCTCTATTTCGCGTAATGGTCGTTATTTGAAATGAACTTTGGAAATCATCCAAGAAAATAAAGAGATAGAAAAAAGATTAGAGACGGTTTTTCTTTTTCTGCTGACGAGTCAGACAATGATAAATTTTATTTCTATACAGTCGAAGACGACACATATATAAAAAATAATTATGGTAAAATTGCATCCAAGGGGTTTTATTTGAATTTAAAATGAATTTTCGAAATATACTCTGGATAAGTACTAGATGGATACACTAAAAATAGTGGCCGCGAAATGCTCTCAACCTGTTGAGAATACATTTTCTCGATTTGTTTGTGTAAGAATGTCATATTCTCGCACGCAAAATCGTTAAAAAATTGAAGCTCATTTCCCAACGATTTTTAGCGTTTAGTTTTCAAAGTACTGTTTGTTTCACGAGGGTTTGTACTTTTGCCTTCCTATTTTGACAAATACATATAAATTAACTGAAACAAATTAAAGACGTCAAAAACGTTCATCGGTTTTTAAACCAGAAGTCATTCAATACAATACAACAGCTGAACGCTATTGAACTTATATGAATCAATCTACGATAAACCTTTTTTTCCAAGTTATGACATTATCGATTTCATAACTACAAACCTTCGTGAAACTCACTTTAGTTATATTATAGTTTTTTTTTTCTTGGCTATAGGTTTATTGGTATAGAACAAAAAGGCTTTTTTCTAGTTAGCTTGACGTTTCGTCATTATTTTATTTATTTTCTACTTAACTATTATAGATCCATAATACCTAGGAAACGAAATACGTTAACATACCTATAACAACCTAATCCATAACGCCCGCTTTTGCGGGCGTTATGATCTATAACGCCCGCTTATAATACCTTGAGGTGTTTTTGTTGTTGTTGTTCTATTAATTTGCACTTTACCCTAGGCAGCCACTAAATGTCCGACCGAAAATAATTTTCGGTCTAGCCAGGATTCGAACCCGCAGCCTTATTCTGTAACTTGCGACCGCAGAGAATTGCGCAATTGTCGCTGTCAAGTCGCTGTCAAACGCGAATTTTCCATTCAAAAAAAAGCAACTTGCGACCGGTTGCTGGTTGCTATGTAATTCCTGTTCATAGACGATAGGCCTGCCGGTCTACCATCAACGTTTCCCATGTACTCCAGCGCGTTAACCCACAGGGCCACCACCGTTGCCTTGCCTTATGAGATATTTATAGATATATTAATTAATTTGGTTTCTAGGTGCAGGTCACAGGTACAGGTACAGGTCACAGGTACAGGTACATGTCAAAATACAAAACAATAAATGATAAATTGATGAAAGAACATTGTATTGAGTAGAAAATAAAGCCTTGTATGCACCACGGGGATTTTAAGATTATATTGCCCTTCAGGCGAAATATATCCCTCGGGCCGGAGGCCCTCGGGCTAATTTCGCCTTCGGGCATTATAATCTACATAATCCCCTTGGTACATAAATAGCTATTTGGCTTTTTCAAAAGGAGGTTGTTATTACAATTATTACCTCGAACTTATTCAGTAGAATCTTCACAGTCAAAAAAAGTTATATTGTAATCCCCATGTTATTATTATACAAATAATTCCTCTTTTCAATGTTAAACATAAGCATAAACTATGGTAAAATCCCACCATATTATAAAGGTGCTGACTAAGCTACATTCAGCCTGGAGAAGTAGCGTTGTACCGATTTAGTTGCAGCGTATGCATTTTATCAATCTAAAAAAGCCTCGCAGTACGCTCTCATAGGAGTCTGGTATTTTTTGTTGTAACTCTTCTCAGTTTTTAATGAAATAATAGTTATTTGTATACCAAGGCGGCGAAATGCCTTTTTAGCGTACGTAGAGAAAAGTTATCGCCGAGACCGCTTGCGGCCGAGGCAAGATAATCTCGAGGACGCTAGAAAGTTTCGCGGTCATGGTATACACACCATTTTTTGTGCAAGTATAAAAATTATGTGAAATACGGAAAAACTTAATGGATTTGACTTACGTGCAGAATGTGTTGATTACCTACATATACCATTTCAATTTGGAAGTGACTTTGAAAATCAAACTATCGAAATACCTCCTTATACAGTTCAAAAATGTAAATTTCTTACAAGAATTCCAGAAGGAACTAAAATAATAACTGACCTTGTAGAAGATGGAAATTATTATATATTCCATCAACTATCACTAAAATTACAAATGGTGAAATACCGCTTGATTTCTATAATTTTAAGGATAGAATAATCACATTAGGGTAATTCCATTAATTAGCCACCAACGAGTGCCCCTCATACCCTCAATTTTTTTTTCATTTTTTAACTGTGACTTGACAAAGACCTGAGAAGTCTAAAAATCAATACTTTTTTTTTTCTTAATCCCCACCTTTTTCTTGAAGACCGTGCAAAATTTACCATGCAGAGTTAACTTTAAAAAAATTGTAGTTCTTCTCCTAATCAAGTGATCGCCATCAAGCAAACTGCTAATTGTTAACAAGTCTTGTCTCTTTAAACCAACGAAAAAAATATTAAGTATCGATATCGTTACGGGTCTCTGCCAATTACTTTAAAAATTCAATTTTTTTTGGAAATAACGTAACTTTATACATTCATATATTCTTAGGCCTACTGACAAACAATTTTTTTTTAACGTATTCTATTAACAAAGACCTTACTCTATATAAAGGCAATAAAACGTTTCAAAATAATATCGGCTTACTGTTAAAAAAAAATTATTTTGAAATTCATGTTTCCCAAAATATACTCTTTTTAGCCATTTCAGGAGTCAGGAAGACCATGTTTGAGTGAGTCGATTTGAACCTAATTAGGGTAGTCATCACAGGCGCTTATTGGTCTCCAACAATCCTAAATAAAATTGTTGTGTATTTTTCTTTTAGCTGTCCTGTGAACGCGGATGTCTCCCCTGACTAAACCTATATAGAAACCGAGTATTTCGGAAGAGGGTAAAACATCTCTGAAAAAAATTGGTATTAATACTATATATATACTATAATTAATAATAATAAGGTGACAAAATATAAATTGAACAATTAAGACACACTTTTCAAAAATTTTGTAATATAGAAATAATTATAAACATAAACAACACCTAACACAACAAAACATTAACTGAATTTAATTGAACTAAAATAAATATTAATTCGGAACTTTTACTTTAATTTAAAAAAAAAAAAGAGAAAAATAAAATGTTTTTCTGCGTTTGACAAGAAATGTCAGCATTTTTGACCGGTTGAAAGGTTGCAAAACACAATATTCTGGTATTTTAATTATGTTTCAATAGTTGCTAAGGAATCAATGAATAACAATACAGGAAACACTTTTCCGGCCTAGGCCGGGAAAGTGATTCTCGTACTGCTGGATAATTGGAACCAAAAGACAAACATTTAACAGGTATTTAACCGATCGCAGAAAAAATAGTATGTGTATTTCAGTGGAAAAGCATATTCTCGGCCTTCGGTGTTTGCCGGCCTCGGCTACGCCTCGTCCGTCAACTTACACCGTCGGCCGAGAATGTGTCACTTTTCCACCTAAATACACAATATACTATTTTTATTTACTAATTTTAAAATGAAGAAACTTAGCTGACTCGGAAATTTTTCTGATTTCAATAATGTTATTATCAAGAGGAATAAAGAAATGAAATGTTCGGGTATTTTTTATAGTTAATGCAGATTGAAACCTACTTTCAAAGAACGGTTTTTCTGAATTAATTTCTTCTTGGATGACGAGTGAAAATGTTATAGTCTTAATTTTTTCAACGCAAAATTTGTACATATCATTGATATTTAAAATCTGATTATTATTTTCTCGTTGTAAACTTGCTTTTCTAACTAAGCGTTTGACAGTTCCACCGATCCCATCACATGCACTCTTGCCATGTGATGTGGCATACAAATGCCATTCGGCATCAATATCAAAATCTCGTTTATGGTTATATAGGTTTAGAAAATGTTTCCTTTTTTTATACTGGCCACCACATCCATCTGTCATATAAATAAACTTCAACAATCATCCTGTATCACAAAAGCATAATTTTCCGCAAAATCACACATCACAATACATTCGTGTTCTGCCAAGTTCTCTTTTCTTGCTCGCAAAAAGTTACTTTGCTTTTTAGAGATGTAGTGATGGGGTTTCGTTTTCAGAATTTGTTCTTTGAAGTTTTTCATAAATTCTTCGTAATTTTCACTTAGGGTCTTCATTTGACATCTGAAATAAAAAACAAACTAGAACATTTTTTATTTAAAGATTCATGCTGCGAACAAACGTCACCTGTCGTTAGAGATCCATTGACTGTACTCTACAGATTCAGCTAATGGTTGTGACTCTTGAATTGTAGACAAAAAATCATCAATTCCTTTTTCATTGGGGCATTGTTCGCACTCTGACATCATACATTGCTCACAATTAATATCACACACCGCTGCTTTTATGTAATCCGCATAATTTATTGTTCTCGAAATTACGTTGGAGGCTAACTTTAAATTTTGGTGATAGATACAAACACAGACAGTATGTGTACCCGAAGCACCTGCCAAGATACACCACTTGGGTCTCAACTCTGCAAACTTTGAAAACCCTATTTGTGCAGCTGGGTTCTGTTCTTTGAAAAATGTATAAATTTCTTTCAAATTTGAAAGAATTAACCTTTTTTGCATATGAATCCTATTTCCATTATCATCCTTCACTGAAACATATTCTGGACAAGGTCGACTTATATCATTTTCCAAGTAGAATTGAATTATTTTTTCAGACATTTCCTTAGAAAGTGAATGTCTTCCTTGTTTGTTTTCATTTTTAATATAGGGTAGGATTTCGTCATTTTTCATGGCTTGTCTTGCTGTTCTCACAGTATTTGGGGAAACATTTAATTCTTTAGCTGTTCTTTCACGAGACCAAGACTTGGGCGCTATACTTATAAGATTAATTTTGTTTTTGTAATCAACCGTCGATATTTTCTTTTTGACTTCATCTATTAATTCAAAGTAATCTTGGTCCAGATTATCAACATTTTCTTGTTTCGCCTCGCCAGGTAAATTGAAGGCCTCAATACATATCTTCTCAAAAGCTTTCGAGACTTCTAGAACCTTGTTTTTTATCCAGCGTTTTACTGTTCCACGTTTAAGTTTTTTTGGCAGGCCTTCCAATTAAAGTGTAAAGCAAACATCGCCTATACTTCTTTTAAGTTCTTCTGTAAAGACAAAAGCACTATCCTCATTATCATTACCTTCAAATTCCTCTTCTATCATATCTACATCCATATAAATAGCTTCTTTATCTTCCTTCAATTTTTTAATACAGTTTGTACAGATACTTTTTCCCGGAACTAATTTCAAGTGCGAATAAGTTTCACAAATTTCTAAATCCAAAACTCTTAATGATTTTTTAATTAAGGCCTTATGACTTTTAAATGGATCGCAGCAAGCTCCACCAAAACCCTTATTAAAATATTTTAAATACTTGAGTTTATGATACATACAAATATCTGTTACAGTTTCCTCTAGTCTCCATTCTATTAAATCCTTTTCCTCCTTAGTACAAGACTCAATTTTGGAAAATCGGGAATAATATTTTTTATGGTACTCTTCATGAACTAGTTTACCAACGGAACAATCCATTTTCGAACTATTCGACATCTTTGAATAGTTCTTTTTACAAAATACCGCCAAAAATTACACTCTATAGTGAAGTACTTAGAGCTACTGTTTTGAAACTTCAACATTGCAAAGAAATGATCGCAACAGGGACGATATCATTTAAAAATTGTGTGTAAACATAGGATTTTATGTTTATGTTGAAGGACCTAAAAATAGGATCAATTTGTCAATTGAATATATTTATTTCGGTTTGGTTTATCTCCACTTTTTCGAGTATTTTATACACAGACTAGTGTGGCGTCTGGCTAATACCGTTATGCTGGTACTTTCTTTTGAACCGGCCCTACGTGTACAGTGGGAATCATTGCAATTGGCACATACTATATAAATATCTCTCGTAATGTGTCGAATCTGACACACAGTAATAGCAAAATGCTGCACTAAATAGATTTATTGGTTAGAATTTTGACTCAAGACGAGGGATTTTAAAGAGTGTGTAACAATTGCAATGATTCCCACTGTACACCGATAACAACATATTAATACACTTCTACCGTAAAATATTACTTATTCAATTTTATTCTCGATCTTTTAATAATATACATCAACATTATTCCTCAATATTGGATCTTCTTGTTCGTTCTTCCACCTCTGGAGGATTCAGCAAACCATTGTTATTTGCAGCTCCTCCAGACTCCGTAATATTGCCAAGAAAGGCAACTATTTCTTCTCTATACTGTTGGCGATTTGAAACCCGTCGTCCATGTATAAATGCGACTAAATTTTCTTCGGTCATTTGGCGCCAAGCTGGCCTAAAGGGCCTATCAGAAAGGCCGATCATGTATTGCTCCATTTCGCTTCGTTCTGCAATGACATACCTGCCATTATTTTCCATTATAACGGAAGGATTTTCCTTATTACAAAGTAAACTAGTGATATGTCACTATGTACGAAGATCTTTACCATATAGTACCGACGATCGGTTATACCCAACTAGCGAGAGCAACTGGATTTCCATCCGAACATTAATTTCAAAACACAAGAAAAACTATTTACTACTTGTTTTTTCTCTTTTCTTTAAAATTAAAGTAAACGTTCAAAATTTTTTCTCTCTCGTCAATTAAATTCAGCCAAGAATTCAGCTTATGTTTTGCTGTGCATGTTGTGATACGTGTTGTTTATGTTTATAATAATTTTTATATTACAAAATTTGTGAAAAGTGTGTCTCAGTTCTTCAATTTATATTTTGTCACCTTATTCAAGTATTAATAACGAATTTTTTTAGGTTTAGTCAGGAGAGACATATGCGTTCACAGGACAACTAAAACAAAAATACACAACAATTTTATTTGTGATTATTAGAGACCAATAAGCGCCTGTGATGACTACCCTAATTAGGTTCAAATCGACTCACTCAAACATGGCCTTTCTGACTCCTGAAATGGCTAAAAAAAGTATATTTTGGGAAACATGAATTTCAAAATAATTTTTTTTTAACAGTAAGCCGATATTATTTTGAAATGTTTTAGTGCCTTTATATAGAGTAAGGTCTTGGTTAATAGAATACGTTAAAAAAAATTGTTTGTCAGTAGCCCTAAGAATATATGAATGTATAAAGTTACGTTATCTCCAAAAAAAATTGAATTTTTAAAATAATTGGCAGAGACCCGTAACGGTATCGATATTTAATTTTTTTTTTCGTTGGTTTAAAGAGTCAAGACTTGTTAACAATTAGCAGTTTGCTTGATGGCGATCCCTTGATTAGGAGAACTACAATTTTTTAAAGTTAACTCTGCATGGTAAATTTTGCACGGTTTTCAAGAAAAAGGTGGGGAGTAAGAAAAAAAAAGTATTGATTTTTGGACTTCTTAGGTCTTTGTCAAGTCACAGTTAAAAAATGAAAAAAAATTGAGGGTATGAGGGGCACTTGTTGGTGGCTAATTAATGGAATTACCCATTAAATTGTCACATCGACAAATAATTACCCAAAAAAATTATGTTCATAAAGAGAAACCCGATTAAAAAACGTCCTTAAACCCTTTAAGAACTGATCATTTAAACTCAGAACTAAATGATAAATTATGATTTAAAAATCATGTTAAACACAGAATTAAAAATTAAAAGACGAAATACCAGGTTCGCAGAAAGAAATATAGATATCCACATATTCATAAATAAGAAGTGAATAAACAAATCCAGAAAATGTTAGAAGATAACATAATTCCCGTGGTCATCTCCTACCTGGATTGTACCTAAAATTTAGTTAGGTACTTCAGGCATTAAAAAAAAACGAATGGTCCTCTAGACTATAGGAAGATCAATGAAAAAACGGTAGACGATCGATACCCGTTACCCAATATAACAGAACAGACATTCTCGACAGACTTGGAAGAAGTAATTATTTTACTACTCTAGACTTAGCTTCTGAATTTCACCAAGTTGAAATGCATCCAAACTCGATAAGTAAAACAACTTTCATTGTAGAAAATGGACAATATGAATTTTCTCGTATGCCCTTTGGACTAAAGAATGACCACCGGCATTTCAAAGAGTAATGGACAACGTACTAATAGGTCTACAGAACAAAATATGTCTAGATCACCTAGATGATATACTTTTTACTTGTAGCTCTTCAAGAACAGAATGCAAATCTTAAAAAGATATTTGAAAGAATAGAACAATTCAATCTAAAAATCCAATTAAGCAGATCCGAGTTCCTTAAGACATCAGTAGAATTCTTGTGGTATGATTTAACCACAAATGGTATTTAACCAAATCCAAAGAAAATCGATGCAAATAAAAAATTTACATTCACAAAAATAGTAAAAGAAATACAATGATTTTTAAGATTGATACGTTATTATCAGAAGTTCATAAAAAACTTCGCCAGTATAACAAAACCAATGAAAACTTGTTTTTCTCCAAACGTCAAAAAAACGTCACCAACCAAACAAACCTACTGCTCCAGCACAAAAAAGTAAAGCTTCTACTCCTAATACAACAATATACTATTAAAAAAATCCACGATTCCAAATTTTTAAAAAGTTTTGAAACAGTGAAAACGTATTGATCAATGATCCTATATTACAACACCCTGATTTCAATAAACCATTTTTATTGACTACAGGCGCATCAAATTATGTTATTGGCGCTAGTTAACACATCGTAGACCGGGTTAACGTTTTTAATTTTTTTTATTTCCGACTTAAAAATTACAGATTCAAGACTTAACTCTAAAAATTTAATCGTTACAATAAAATTCAACTGACTAACTTAACACTGTCGAGAAATTACTTATATAAAGGTGAAAAGCACAGTAAGCCAGTTTTTTGTTTAGTCAGCGCCTATTACTGATATAACTCCTCCCTCCTCAACTTCCAACTCTACGCTTGACGGGGTAGTTGGACTTCAATTGTGAGGGCATCGTTCTTCTTTCTTCTGTTTTGGAAGATGGGCATCACATATTTGTGGATGGAAACCAGACAGCAAATGGCAATGACCCCATACAGAAGCAGGGTTCAGATACTTGGACTTCTAGTAATTTGTTTGAAGTTAAGATGAGGCTGAATTTCGGAGATTTCATATCTTAACTGATGGAGGTCGTCCAGCTTCAAATTGTGAAGGTGACGACTTAAATTCATAAGTGGTAGTGTTGTTGACGTTTCTGCAAAATCGAGGAACAACATGGGTTGCCGATTTGGAGCGATTTGTTCATTGATAACCAGTTTTTAATTTGTGCTGACTCTGCATCCCATAGGAATTTGGCAAATGTATGTCCCTATGACGCTTTGGACATCTTCTTGGCAAAAACACTGAATTTTAATAGTTTTCCTTAATTGGAAATATAAGTATCCACTGATTAGTAGTGTCTAGACGATTAATTATTGCTTCCGGAACGTGAACTTTGGTTTGCTTGCAAACTGAGGGGTAGGTATGTGTCAGAGTTCAAGAGTTGTATCTCGCATGGGCTGTTTTTTTTACTTCTTGCAGGTCCTTTTTAGGGCAAACGGAGGACTCCGGGAAGACTTCCAGACATGTTTGTGGATAGTACGTAAAGTGCAAATTATTTTTTACTAAATATTTATTCTTTGGCAAAACTACCTTGAACCGACTCTGCGAATTGATTGGTACAGAATAAAAATGGAAGAGGTCAAAAGATTGAAGCTTCATGAGTGGTGTTTGTTATAAATAAATTATTTTATTATTTATTGTAAAGGCCTTAATTTCTATGAGTTTTTCGATAACTAGAATATTTTCTAACGTGAGGTTGAAAGGAAATTTACCTAATCCTAATTGATTTTGTAGCTTATTAATTTCAGAAAAAAGGTCTTCGTTTTTTATTATGTTAGGATGTAAGATTTTAAGCCTCGCAAACGTCAGCGAATTTTCTATATCCTGCAAGATGGAATTGATTATTTCGTAGACATTGACGATTTGATTGATTATATCTTTGATAAAAAAGGAATTTTCCTTGTGAGCAGATTTTTGTACAAAGACACATATTTGTTTAATTTTGGATTCTAGAAGATTCTCATTATGATTGATTTGGTTAAAGGTCGAATTAAATCAATCGATGACAGTTAAGGGTAGAGAACTTTATTTCAAAACATTATCTTGTAAATTCTTTTGATTTGCTTGCAATTCAGCTATAAGATTTTCGTAGTGAACTCCGTCGGATGCGTCAAGATTTCCTGTGATAGTTTTGAACATAGAGCCTAAACTATTTCCTCTCTTCAGTCTTTCAGGATGAGGTATAATCTCTCTTATTTTATCATTTACTCGATTTTGTATTATTTGTGGAAGTTTCAAATAATTGCTCACATAAGTACTATATTCTTTATGTGATTGTACTAGAGTTTGGATTTTTCCCGATTTTTAGTGAGGTTTGTTAATTTCTGTAATTATGGGATTTAAATCGTAATAGTGTATTAAGGTGTATGAATTATCTTGCATTTTTGCGATTTACCCGGAATTATGCCTGGGTTATCGGTTAGTTCTCGGATGACATGTTCTGGGTCTCCGAGCGCCTGAGTGAAAACTCTGAAATTATATATAGGGTGGTCAAAAAAAACGGAATTTTGTTTTTGTGCTGTAACTTTTTTATTTGTTGAACAATTTTCTTTTGTTTTGGCTTATTTGAAAGAGAAATGAACAGGCTAACGAATCAGAGTGAAACTTTTGACATTTGAAAAAAATCCAAAATGGCGGACTTTTTCAAAAATTGCCTAGTTTTAAGACCTCGACAGAAAAAATCGGTTGAAAACTAAGTGATATATTGAACTTTTTTTAATATCGAATTTCAATTTTTTATATTGACAGCAAAATCTAGGATATGCTATTTCAGCTAGATTTTTTTTTTCTACTCGACATATTCTTTCTATTTCGGGCTCGTTCGAAAGATAAATGGATAGGGTAAGGATTCGAAATTAAAATTTTTACTGGTTGAGAAAAAATTAAAGATTTCCCAGTTCCTTCAACATAATCAATTTTGAAAAAGTTAACGATAAGTTTTGTAACAATACGACTAATATTATTATTTATAAATTTTAAAAAATAAAGTAAACACATTTTAGGAGCAACAGGCGATATGCCCTCCGTGGGCCTCAACAACCCATGCAAAACGTCTACGCCAAAAATCGATAAAATTGGCAATGTTATGTTGTTCCAGCAGTTCTCCCCAACACTCAATGATTCGGTTGCGCAGCTCTCCTAAATTATTGAACGTAGCCCCATTTCCGTGGACTTTTTCTTCAAAATCTCCTCGCAAAAAGTAATCGCAGGAATTCAAATCTGGGCTATTAGGCGGCGAATCCACGGGCTGTATAAAATCCGCAACTTGCTCTCTTAGATAGTTGATAGTAAAGCGGCTATTATGTCACCTTGCTCCATCTCATATACAAACAGTATTTATCA